CAAGGCAACACACTCGTGAAATGGCCCTGAAATTGCATGTCTCTCATGAAATAGTACGTAATCATATAAGGAATATGGGAAAACTCCATAACTTAGAAGGTGTTTGGGTGCCTTACGAACTCTCTGATAATCATCACCTCCATAGTGTGAACGTTGTTTCGTCTCTTCTGGCGCTTAATGCGCGTGAACCATTTTTGGACAGAATTGTCACCGGTGATGAAAAATTGATTCTCTATACGAATTAAACGCCAAAAACAATGAGTCATTTCTAGACAAAAACCACTTCCGACCCCAAAACCTGGACTCCATCCGCAGAAAGTGATGCTTTGCATTTGGTGGGACATCAAAGGAGTAATTCATTTCGAACTCCACATTCCACAGCGAAACTGTCAATGCAGAGATCTCTAGTCAGCAATCGGAACGTTTAAATCAAGTCCTTCATCAGAAACGTCCTTCACTCGTCAATCGGAAAGGTGTTCTTCTTCTCCACGACATGTTCGTCCACATGTGGCACGTTTGACGCAACACAAAATTATGGAGTTGGGTTAGGAAGTTCTCCCCCACCCACCATATTCTCCAGATATAGCACCATCAGATTACTATCTTTTTCGTTTGCTGCAACACCATCTTAACGGGAAAACGTATGCAAATGTGGGAGGTGTTAAAGAGGACATCGATATGTTTTTTGCTTCAAAGCCAACAGGACATTAACAACCTGATTGTAAGATTGAAAAGCATCATCGATAAGAATGGAAACTATTTAACTTAATAAATGTTTTGTTTTGATATATAAGTTGTTCGGGTTTTTTCATCTAAAAAAATACGACATTAATTTCTTGATGACCTAATATAATTTAGATAATAGATTTAAACTTTAGATATAACCATTTAGCGCACGTGCACATAAGGTGCCATTCAGATTGAAAATCCCAATCCATTTAAACAAATTATTTTCCTAATTATGTAACGTGGTCATTCTGATGGCCATGATATGCAGTATTGCCTGTCACAAGAGTTTTCAGGGGGGATTCCTGGGAAACCAGTATGCAACTTGTGGTGGTGGTAGCGGCGTATGGTGGGATATTGCTTACGTGGTGTTGCATACACATATGAGTGGGCTGGTTGTTGATGCCCTCTATTGTAGGGATCATTTTCTTTGAAATGGTGTGCCTTAAAGCTTAGCGCATCATTTAGCTTCTTAGCACTTACATTTTTAATTGACTTGAGTTTGCTGTGATTCAAGTATATAAATGGTAAACATGTCGTTCGTGGCTCCATAGTTCGTTAGTATATATAAATCGTTCTTATATGTGAATTGAAAGGTAGAGATATGACGAATTATGATTAGTGCTAGACTGTTAATTATTTAGTTCATGAATCTTTATCGGGAAGATAAGAATACACCGAAAATAAAACTGTGCTAATTTTAACAAGTCAAATACCACTAATAACTAGGAAGACACAAGTTGAACTGTACAAGTTGTTTACTTAATCAATTAAGTCTTCCACAGCGAGGAAGGTATCTAGCAAGAATTTATAGCTCACAGGCAGAAGGTTACGTTTGCTATCTCAACGAGAAGTAACGATGTACAAAAGATTAAATTTTTGTTGAGACTGAAATTCTAAAATTGCTGGGGTCTGGCTGGCCTTGTGGTCTGGTGCTCGACTCACAATCTTATGGTCGAAGATTCGAGTCACCGTCACCGAACATGCTTGTCCCTTTAGCCTTGGGGACGTTACAATGTGACGGTCAAACCCACTATTCGTTGGTAAGAGGGTAGCCCAACAGTTGGCGGTGGGTGATGTTGACTAACTGTCTTCTCTCTAGTCTGTTACTGCTAAATTAGGAACGGCTAGCGTAGAAAGTCTTCGTATAGCTTTGCGCAAAGTTCAAAACAAACCAAATCTGGAAATGCTATTTTTCGTGGTTTATGTAAGAGTTTTAGTGTTGTAACAATATTCGGTACATGTAAGCACATTATAACGATACTGTTGTGCCCCATGAGTTATATGTCATTAACCATGTCTGTTTATTTCACTAAAAGTACACGCATCAACCAAAATAAAAAATGGTATGGCCATGTAAGACCATCAGGACTATGCTAAAGAAATGTTTTTGAAGTTTACTGCTAAAGCTTTATGTATTGTCTTGTTAAGTGTGAACGTAGTACGATAGATTCACCCCGATGATTCAGTGGTAAGTTGAGGGCATAAAAAGCTAAACTTTGAGGTTCGATCACGCCGGTAGACAGGGCGCAAAAAGCCCATTGTGGAGCTTTGCGCTGAAAATCAAAAGTGCGATATACAAATGTAACCGAACCTTTCCAACGACAAATTGTGTGATGCAGGTACTGTAAATGTATGGAAATGGCTTAAAAAGTGATAACATAAGATAAAGGAAAGCTACAAATTGTATGTGTGCATATAGTACGTCCTATTCAGTGTAAGCTGTGACAGGGAAGTTCTACCAGTTATTGCTGTAGGATAAATTGAAAGAAATATTCAATTGTAAGAAATTAAGAAGAAGTAAAATTACACTACGTTTGCGCATTTTTCAAGATCAACCTTAAATAAGAAAGCTCAAAATCGTATTCTGAAAAAAAAAAAAACTAGCTCTGTTTCAGATGATAAGCCTACACTACGCTTTCTAAGGTTTATAAACAGACGAAATGTACATGTTCGAAAGAATATTAGACAAACCTAACAGTTTATGGACACCCAAAAAATAGCTCTATTTTAACCTGTACTATGTTAGACTTTATAAAATATTCCTGTAACTTTTACCAAGACCTATTTAACATTCTACTTTGATGTAAAATCAGACACATATGCAACAATATAAATTTATAGGCTGCATTTCTCTTCATGATAACATTTAAAACTTAAGTAATTTCAAATCTTATTTGGCACGATAAGTAGTCTTTGTGTTAATATTATAATTCGCGGTGCGTATTTGTAATATTTCTTCTCCGTATTTCACAAGAAGGAATAAAAAAAAACATGTTTTAGTAAGTCAGAGAAATGAGGAATTAAGTGCGAAAAGTATAAATATTTTTTTTTTATATATAGAAGTATGTACAAAGATGGAGGTTGAGTCTGTAAGGGAAGCTTACAACACAACCTTCATTGAAGTTCATAGAATAACCTCACCTTAAACAAACGTAAAATGTTCGCCACCATTACTGACACAGAGCTGGAAGAAGCTCCTATAACTCCGACAACAGGTTTCTGGAGGTTCCGGATTGGTTTACGTCCATCTTCACACAAGTACTGAGAATCGTCCAGAGTGGTCAAGGAAGCCTTTACGAACTCCATACTTTGTTCCAGTGCATACGTGTCACGAGAGCAGGTGTCCAAGATAAATGCTCCTAAAGTGACATTAGGTAAAGTAAATGGATCTTTGTTAATACGGTCTAAGGCATAAAGCATAGCTTCTAAACGTTGAATTCCTTTCTCTTCTTTGATAGCCCCACATATTTTACCATTTCTTCCAGTTGCCTCGTGCATGGGGAATAATCCCCCTAACACCAGGTCACCGTCCAACTTGACCTGTGCAATTTGAGATTCACAATTGACTATTGTTTCTCGACAAACTATAAAAAGGAGCAAAATGTTTATGTTCTTTATTTTGTAAGAATTCATAGTTATTTGTCACACGCTCCACGTTCCTTTATCTTTGTATATTTATGGCTGCTATATATTTTTTTATGTGTTAGGGAAGTAGGCTGCTAAAATAGTTTTATGTAAAATTACCTTTGTTAAAGGTAATTTTACATAAATTGGTAACAAATTCAAGATTCAAACGGGAACACGTGAAAAATGGGAGATCATAAACCCCTAAAACATTATGTAATAAATCAAGGACTCTATAAAGATTTCTTGAATTACTATAGCACTATTGAAGTTTGTTCTAACTGAGACTCGTCAAATAGTACTTCACACACTACAGTCGGGAAAGCGGATTCTGATACCTCTATGTCTCGCGCCAAGCCTTAGTCAGGCAACTGTCGCGCAAACTCAGTGTGTGCACAAACGAAAACGAACATAAACTGTTACAGTAGACTTCATATCGCTACCAAAATAAAGTCATAGTTGAAGTTCGAAAGCTAGTAACCTACTTGTACCAGTATTCTAGATATTTAATTTGTTTTTCATTTGAATATTGTTTTAATCCCACTTGACAAATCTATCAAAAGGTTAAACCATCCAAATCTGTTAATTTTATGTCTTTGATATGTTAATGTGCTTCGATATTTTTGCTTGCTAGAGAAACCTAAATCAAAAATTCATCGTGTTCTTTATGTATTATTAATGTGTTGTTAAGGTGGTGTACCAGCAAGTACATGAACTTCTGTATAAACATCCATTTTTCACTTCTAATATACAAGTCTTCATGAATTTGCTGAGAGAATGTGTTGTAGAAATGGTTTCATTAACTGTATGTACTTGTAAGCTTGCTTTGGTTTACATTAATATCCAGGATATAACTGTGTGTATTAGAGCTTATACTAGGTGTGGTCAGTCTTTTAAATTCCAATACCACCAGAAAAAGAAAAGAAGATAAATTTACAACCGACAGCCACAACCTTCGATTGTAGAAGCAGTGAATAGTAAGTATTGCTTACCCAGAAATCAAAAACACTCGGAGTTACACTGCAATAACGACCCCCCCCCCACCCACCACCACCAGTAGCTCAGCAGTAAGTCTGAAGGCTTATAACGATAAAATTCGAGTTTTAGTACCTGTGGTGGGCACAGCACAGATAGTCCATTGTGTAGCTTTGTGCTTAACAGCGACCAAACCACAAATCAAAACATAATGGTAATATGACATATTTCAAAACTCACTAATCCTTTATAGCACATTGTAATGCACAGGTAATAAATTTATCTTTGTTGCTTAATACACATACAAATGCTTCAGTTCTGTAATTGAATGCTCTTACTTCCTGATAACAATCTAAATAAACCATGGAATTATTTTTGCTGGTTCTTTAGTTGAACAGTGTTACATCTAGGTAATCCATTTTTGCCTTGCCAAAACATATTTACAATATAAACCTGTTTAAGTAAGGAATTCAAAGAAAACTTTTTCCATCATATTTTCATATGTATCTAAATACTTGAAATGTTTTTTTTGTTTGGTGTACAAATTTGAAGATAGCGTTTATATGCGGAAACATCTGTTAGCTGAGTTCTTGCACAAATCTTAAAATATAACGTTGATAAACGGAAACATCGGCACATATAGATATGTAGATCTTGAAAGTCGAGTTGTTCAAAACTTGAAAATGGCGTTGGTAACTGGACCAATTGTTGGTTGAGATGTTACAAAGGAAATATATACTGAAGCTTTTCGCCAGACACTAATCATAGCAGAACCGTTTGGAAAATGATCTATAGGAAATAGTACAGCTAATAAAATGAGTCAGATCAACGTAGGCCGATAAGGCAATCACTGATTGGCAAGTCCTTAAGCCAATCAGGAAATGTCACAGACCTACTGAAGGATGTTTAGACTGTATAGGAATTCTTTTTGGCGGCAAAGGACAGGCAAAAGAGCACCTGAAGTTAATACGTACAATTAAAGGACAACAAGGGATCGGTTGGTCCATCTAAGCCGTAAACTATAACAAACTCTGAAATAAATAAACGTAAGACATTCAAAACCAGCCCTTCGCATTCATATATCTATTAAACGTTCCCTTATACCCTTAAATTAACTGCATCTACCACATCTGAAGGCATTCCATTTCAAAGGCTGTCTTAGCTGCAAACGACTCCTACCCTGCCAAAAATTTTATTCGTGTCTCCTATTTTTACCATTTTCACTGTTAAATATGACAAAAGATAATGCATCAACATTATCAATTCCCTTTAAAATCTTAAACACCTCATTCGGATCCTTTCTAGCTCTTCGTTTTTCAAGAGAAAACAAGTTCAGGGATCTTAACCTATCCTAGTATGACAACCTTTCCATTCCAGTTATTATCTCAGTATCCATCGCCTGATTGATTTCCAACAATTCAATGTCCTCTTTTACGCAAGGAGCCCAAGACTAAACATGTATAATGTGGTCTAATCAGGTGACGTGACCGAAGATCCGTCCCATTGCTGCAAACGCTAAAACTTTACACACTTTACGTCTGTTATAGGAGTCAAATAAAAAGGTCAAGAGTGGCGGTGGAGACTGTTGGCTAGCTGCCTTTTATTTACTCTTATCAGCACAAAATTAGGGACGGCTATCGCAGATAACCCTTGCGTGACTCTGCATGAACCTCTGATACAAAAAAAAACAAAAACATGAAGGTTATGATACAGTTCGAGGTGTGTTCACTTATACCCTAAGAATAAAGTTTGTTTTATTCTAAAGAACATTATCAAATGGTGTTCATATCTTACATATCACATTGAGGTATGCCAAAGTTAGAAGCAAGTCTAATTATGAAAGAGAAAATACGTTGAAATTTCACAGTTTTAAAAAGAAAAATAGATATATGTTTTGGCTTGATGTATGGTAGTCTTCCTAAGAGATTTTCTTATTTAACTACTTCTACTTGATTGAATTTGGGTATTGAATTTGATTACGAGAAACACACGTTTTAGAGAATATACAGTTTGGAGACGTCTTGAATGGGTAGTTAAGAAACTTTTGTCATCATCAGGTGCAAAAGCTTGTCGAAACATTGTACATTTGTAATAAAGTTTCTTTCACTAACTATTCAAGTCGTCTCTAAACTTTAGAGATATTAAATGTTCTGCCTAAACCCAGGAGATGAAATTAGGTTAGTAAACACCATATGACCAAACAACAATAGTGGCGCTACACATGATCTCTCCTCACTGAAAATGTGAACAGTGTTTTCTAAGGCAAAACTGAGAGTTATGTTCACCTCAGTAATTATTGAAATTAAAATATGCTAAGGAAAATTAGCTAAGCCTATCAGTTTAAGCCTATGCTCTCTCCTACACCACCCAGACCAAAAATAATAATGGTATCTTTGACAAACAATAATGTAATAATTTTGATTAATAAATGCGTTCATAGGGTACAAAGAGCTTTCTTATCAAATTTCTACAAAGGTAATATGGCTAAAAGGATAAAATGATAAAGGTTTTATTTGAAAGACTTACGCTATATAAATGTTTGATCATAGGAATTTTCAATAATTTTAGTTATTCAAATATTTATTCTCCATTTTTTTTCAAAACTCTAATAAAACTTTGCTTTCAGAGATTAAAAAAATCTTGATGCTTCTGTCTAACATGCAGATTTACCGGGTACTTTGGTGCTTTTAACATCAAACCAACCGTTTCGGTCTTGGGCTTTATTACAGTTAATTTATTTTATCATATTTTTCTTTCTTGAAATAACTTCATGGCTTTTGACCATCCAATTTAAATTCTCTTCTAGCACTCTACTTGACTGTCTATTGTCATTTGGAGAAAATGAGCCCTTTGTTAAGTGCCTGAAGATTTAATTGAAAAGATATAAGTTAAGCAAAGTCATTCTTTATTACTAAGGGACTCGTTAACTTTTAAAATTTAAGTTTGACTACATTCATTTTGAGTTCTGAAAATTCATTAACTTGCATGCATTCTCTTTTCTTTTCTGTCTTCTCGTCAGTTGTTTCCACTACAGTAATTGGGACTACTATTTTATCTCGTTTTGATTCTTAATTTGGGATAACTATGTAGATGTAAGTGTAACGTCAACAGATGGAATCGGTAAGTACTTATAACTTAATAGTCACACAGCGATAACCAGTCATTTAGTTATTATTGGTAGACGTTTTAGAACTCTACCAATCTCTTTCCAGAAATTGCCAAAACTCTAGAGTTATTTTTCATCTCCAAATCGAATGGTAAAAGGGCCATGATATTTTCCGAACGTCCATATAAGGGTGTCTACTCATTTTCCTTGGGTACCATGTGGACAGTTTCGTCACTTTCTGGGAGCAAATAAGATTTATAAGAAATTGTCAAAATCAGATTTTAATTTAAAACGTTTGTTAAAATTTAATGTATGTTTTTTGTTTATTTTTTTTTCGCGCAAAGGGGCTATCTGCGCTAGCCGTCCCTAATTTAGCAGTGTAAGACTAGAGGGAAGGCAGCTAGTCATCACCATCCACCGCCAAAAACCTAGTTAATATAAATGCTAATATAACTTTGAATGAAGGTTAAGATTTTAAATACAATCACGTTTTACAACTCCCACGGGATGATCGTACTAACAGGTAGTTTTGTTACTGTGAGAATTTTATTTTGGACTTCATCATTTGATGCCGTCTCATGTAACTCCTGATAATAGTTAAGCAGAGTTTGGACCTTATAAAGATTATCTATTGGAAGAAACCATAGAATTGTAGTTACTAAGATAAAGTCTACTTGTATTTTATGTCGGGATTGTTTTTGTTTCGGCATTAATATTTAAAGTAACTGGTTTGTGGATATGGAAATATTAATTTTATCGGGTTTCGTCTTATCTTCTACGTTTTTGATAGTATTGTTGTAGACATCAATAATGTGTCTGAAACTCTACTGAACTGCTGGGGAGTTGGATTATATAAAGGTATTCCTTCAGAACTTGTTTCCTATTTTATTTTCGAATTTGTTGATGTGCACCGGAAAACACTGAAACAAGAACAATTTTAGTGTTTGAAAGAATCAGATCCGACTAATTTTTTTTTCTGGATCTGGCTTTCTTTCTCTAGACAAATTTGATTCTCCATACAGCAAAAGATTAAACTTCAAATGAGGATTTTTCAACGTGGTAGGTCTTCAGAGGATCTCAACTTGTCAGTCGCTATGCGATTTTGCTTATTCAAGTGGAAATCTCTGATACAGAGAAGATTAAAGTGAAAAAGATTTTATTATGCCCTGGTGATTTCTAAGATTAATTTTTCAGATTTTAAGGCTCTAAAAATAAGGATCTAATCACATTCTAGTCAGTGTTT